CAGCCTCTGTGTATCTGCCTATTGCAGGCATTCCGTAAAAGTAAAACGATCCGCTGTGCCTGGCTCTTTCCACTTCACGTACTGTTTCCAAGGTCTGTCATGTCTTAGCACACGTGCGTACTCCGTTCTCTGTCCCGGCTGAATGTTACCCGGCTGTAAGGAGGCAGCAGTCTGTTCATCTATGCCTAAGCGGATGCCATCTGGGTCATTCCCATTTGGAGATCTTCTGAATAACGCTGCCCTGAACAGTCACGTACACGCTTCTGGGCAGTGTATCCCTGCAGCCGCTGTGTCATGTGGTAACTCGATACTGAACCATTTGAAAACATCCTCGTCAACACTCGTTATTATCTGCTTCTTCTTTCTTACTGTAGCCATTCTAGTCTGCATGAGGGGTACTACATTGTGCTTTTAATTCACATTTCTCTTCCGTTAATGACACTGGGCCTCTTTTTTTCCCCTTTCTTTGGAGAGGTTTTTGCTGTAAGGCGCGTGCACTCTCCAGAAAGACAGAGACAAACAGAGAGACAGAAAGTGAAAACATCACTCCCGCCCCAGGGGGGATGGCCACGCCGCAATCCCTTCTCCTCCATTCTCCTCTCGGGATCTTGGGCACACATGCACACGCGTCTGGCGTGAGTTTAAGCCACCAGGTCCAGGACTCGAACCACAGTTGACTACATGGGAGTTCAGCGACATAGCCATTACGCTAACTGCTGGTCTCACACTGAGCATTTTTTCATGTGCTAACTGGCCATCTGTGTATCTTCTTTAGAGAAATATTTATTTAAATCTTCTGCCCACTTTAAAATTATATTATTGGTCTTTTTATTCTTCACTCTTGAAGAGTTCAAGTTCCTTCTTGTACCTATTAGAGATGGAAGTTCTGCGTACCCGAGTTCCCTCTGAGATACACGGCGTAGGTATGGTCTCCTATTCTGTGAGTTCTCTTTTGACTTTTTGATGATGTCCTCTAGTTACCAAAAACAAAAACCAAAAATTAATCTGGATAAAGTCGACGTTTTGTTTCTTTGTTGTCCATGTGTTTGGTGCCACATCTAAGAATTCACGGTCTCATCCAATGTCATAAAATGTCACTCCCAGAGGAAGCTAACTGGTGGCGCTCTGGAAGGCTGACCCATATGGGAAGCTTCTGGGCTCACATCCAGAGACTTACTCTCCAGAAAGACAGAGACAAACAGAGAGACAGAAAGTGAAAACATCACTCCCGCCCCAGGGGGGATGGCCACGCCGCAATCCCTTCTCCTCCATTCTCCTCTCGGGATCTTGGGCACACATGCACACGCGTCTGGCGTGAGTTTAAGCCACCAGGTCCAGGACTCGAACCACAGTTGACTACATGGGAGTTCAGCGACATAGCCATTACGCTAACTGCTGGTCTCACACTGAGCATTTTTTCATGTGCTAACTGGCCATCTGTGTATCTTCTTTAGAGAAATATTTATTTAAATCTTCTGCCCACTTTAAAATTATATTATTGGTCTTTTTATTCTTCACTCTTGAAGAGTTCAAGTTCCTTCTTGTACCTATTAGAGATGGAAGTTCTGCGTACCCGAGTTCCCTCTGAGATACACGGCGTAGGTATGGTCTCCTATTCTGTGAGTTCTCTTTTGACTTTTTGATGATGTCCTCTAGTTACCAAAAACAAAAACCAAAAATTAATCTGGATAAAGTCGACGTTTTGTTTCTTTGTTGTCCATGTGTTTGGTGCCACATCTAAGAATTCACGGTCTCATCCAATGTCATAAAATGTCACTCCCAGAGGAAGCTAACTGGTGGCGCTCTGGAAGGCTGACCCATATGGGAAGCTTCTGGGCTCACATCCAGAGACTTCCCCGAATAAGCTATCAACACACACAGCCCAGGATCCGGGGCTGTCAGGCAGACTGTGTTAATAGGGTCCTGGTGGGAGTGCTGTCTCCTTCTCATGGAGTAAATGAACTTAAAACATTTTTTTGACTCCTAGAGTTTCACAGTCTCAGTTCTTACACTGATGTTTATAATCCAGCTTGAGTTCATGTGTGTATGATGAGAGGCAGAGGTTCGACTGCTCGCGTTTGCGCCTGCAGGTATTTGACTGTCCTAGCACCGTTTGAAAAGACTATCCTGTCCCCCACTGACGGCCTGGGCACTCCTTTCCCTTCTAAATATACGTCGAGAGCATCCATTCTGTGCAGATGCAGAGCAGGCTGGCCGTATTTTCCAGTTAGAGGGTGTACACTACTCTACTGCGAACCTTGGGAGCACGTAAATGAGCCTCCCTTCTACTTCCTTAAGATTGTAAACCCCTCCCATTTAAAATATCTACTGGGATCAGACAGTAGCCCAGATGCTGAGATATAATGTCCATGAGGCCATAAGATGAATATAAAATGCAGTCCACCCAGGACAGAGATGAAGACAGGGTGTCAACGTTGCTGAAAGAACGAGAACAACTGTTTCTGTGCCAGAGGTTCTGGAAGGATCACAGCAAGGAGAGTCTTCTGACCAGAAAGAATGATGGAGTCAACAGAGACAGGCTCCTGGGTATTCCAGAAAGAGGGGAGCAATGGCCACCTGACACGCAGTTTGACAGGTCACAGTGTGGGAGGGCGGGCAAGGTGCTCCACCAGACGGGAGCGTGAGAGCGGGAGGACCTCGCGGCCGCTGCTGCTCCAGCGCCACTGTGCGGACGTGCCACTGCGCTCAACGTGAAGGCCACGTGCATTTCAGGAAGAAGATCTGGGAATGAGATGCAGAGTCAACCGGCACGGGGGCTAACCAGTACGCATGTCCAGCCTGGAGGGCAACCTTTTTTTTTGGTAATTCTTTTTCCACCACTGCATGTGACCAAGTATCCTGCTCCTTCTGATACCTGGGGATGGCACGTCTCCTAAGACTCCATACTTACATCTGCCTCCTCCTCTCTCTGAGATACGTCTGCCGCCAGCCTTAAAGATGCTGTGCACACATTCTATGGGCTTCTCAACTCAATTGTTTCAATGTTAATAGTCTGTTTTCTCCGTCGCTTTCCTGTAATATAGCACTAAGATATACTACTGTCATGAAGGTCACTCAACTCTGGGCCCGTATCCTGGCCGAGAAGCCCGATGGGACAGATGCACACGTGCTTTACAGACTGTTTCTCTTTCCCAACTGAGAATTCAAATCTCTGCACTTCTACCATTTGCCCACTCTTTCTAGCATTTTCTCTCATAACTGTCGGCTGAGACCGTCATTCTGCTTCCACCGGAGTTTCCTGAAAGTGAGTTTATCACTCTGCCTCTACCCTTCCTAGTTGCAACTTTACAGCAGACTTTCAGAATCAGAGATACACCCCGAGTCGGAAATTCTCCATTTTCCCTTGGACTCCTGAAAATGTTTTGCATTTACTATAACACCACTAGCCAAAAAAAAAAAAAAAAGAGAGAGAAGAGAAGAAAAGAGAAAAGAAGGCACAATGAGAGTGCTCTCCATTCTAATGCTCAACTTTTAAGTGGTATTCCTTAAATGGACCTCCAGCTTAAGAGGAGGTGCTATTTTTGCCGTCACAATGGTGAGAACTGTACCGTGTTCAATGGAATGAAACATTTCCTCAAAATAAATGAGCGAGGCATAATGGAATTCTGCATCCCTCGCTCTTTTCTGCTAATCGACTGGTGACATGAATGCGAGCCGTCATCTCGCGTCCCTGCTGGAAGAGACGGCTCTGCACCATTTTCTCCCTCCACTGATTCTTATTTACAAAGACCTGTGTAAAACAAGTCATTTATCTGCAACAGTGAGAAAACTAGCCAACAATCTGGTTCCTCAAGAAAAAGATGTCAAGTTGGCTCGCATGAAAGTGGGGATGGAAAAATGAAATTGCAGTGGCTGCAACAGGCCTGACCCAGTGAGGAAATGGGTAAGCTTTTACATCAGAGGAGAATGAATCTTTGATTCCTGCCTGTACCTCAACAATTTTCCTATGTAGCTGCCAATTTTTCTCCCCTCTAACTAAATCATTAAAAACTGAAAATGACAGATTTTCAGGACATTTTAAAAACAGAGGTAGAGAGACAAAAAAAAAAGAAAGAAAGAAAAGAAAGAAAATAAAGCAAGCAAGCTAAGAGAAGGAATAAAAAGGAAAAATAATCTGGAAAGATACAACCCAAAATAATGCAAGCACAGTGACTGTCATCTCTGAGTGGTTAAAGTGTAAATATTTTTGGTCTAGACTCTTCTAAGACTTTTCCTATTTTTTCTCAATGTGTACAGCATGTTCTTATAATCAGGAAAAAAAAAAAAAGAACAAAGCAGGCAGAGTAAAAGGAAAGTGGCTAGTTAGCTAAATACATGGAAAGGTGGGTCCACAGGGGGAGGATATTATGGGCTAGGCCAGGCCTGAAACTAACACTCAGAAATCCACTACAGTCCAGGCGCCCTGAGCATTTTATACCTTATGCAGGTACAAGAATATAACATGATTTAAAACTTTGTTTTTTTCATCTCTAAGATGACCTATTACCTTTTTATCTAAGAGAACACCAAAATTCAAAGAAACTTGACTACAATAACACAGTTCTCAGACGACAGTAACGGACCAAACCCAGGTTGTGCCACTCTACAGAGAGACGGGACTGCCGGAGGAGAGGGCAGCCCCGGGTGTTAACAATGTGGTCTTTGATATTTTTACTAAGTATGAATTTTTTTCCCTAGCAAACTGTGGTTCTGATGGCAAGGACCCTCTCAAGCAAGAGACACCATGAAGGGATTGCAACGAAAGGGTGCACAGGAAACACTACTTGTCAGAGGGTAGTCGGCGGTCCTTCTGTCCCTCCATCCTCTTAGCCCTGTGGCGTGTCAAGTGGAGAGACACAGGACCCGCCCTGTGGTGCCACAGAAGTGACAACACCCGATGTGGTAATCTACACGTACTCCGGAGCAGGTTTTAAAGCCTCAGTGTGGAGGTTGCTGAAACCACGGCAGTGCCCATGACGCGGGGGCCCAGCGGACGTTACCTGTGAGATATAACCCGGTGGCACGTGGATGGGCGGGATGGAGCCGTTGGGTGACATCATGGGAACCTCAGCAGGTCCTACAGACAAGGCAAGAATAAGATAGAAACAGTTGAAGAAACGTCATTATTCAAAATAATCACTGGTATTCAACTCCCCACGTTGAAGATAATGAATCCTTTTGACTATTTTCCCTTCGACAACTGGTCTATCATGCCTTAAACCTAGACTTGAAACTACGAATAAAAAGAAATTCTCCTGGCCGGCAGGCGGCATGGTGGCTGAGACGCTGGGTCCCAGCGGCTGACTCTGTGGGTTGAGCCCCAGACTCAGCGACTTGAAATTCAGGCTGGGCACGTGTGAGCATGGTCAAAATGCCAAGAGGAGAAGTGAATGCGAAAGTATTGCCCTGGGGCTGCCCCCCAGGGTGATTTCTCACTTTCCCTGTCTCTGTGTCTCTCTGTGCCAAGTGTACATGCCCTATAGCAAAAACCTAAAAAAAGAAAAATTCTTCAGCTGTTCCACTCAAGGAAAACAAACAAACAAAAAAAATTAGCACATGCACAAAATTATAAGCATCTTTATAAATGTTTCATGATTACCAAAGCCTCAAGTTCTATAAATTAAAGGTGCTCAGTTAAGTCTAACAGAGTGGGGAAAACAAAACAAAACAAACACACACACACAACTTTCCCTCTACTCTTTAAAATAATGTATTAGTAAACATTTAAACAAATAAATTTTGAGTTGAGCTTATCTCTTCTGGTTTAAAAAGCTCCTATTGCCTTTGGGTTTCTACTTTTCGGTTAGATTATTATTTTCAGTAAATCACTGTAACGTGCCATTAATTTGAAAGAGAGAATAACTGTCAAAATATTCCAAACCAACTGAGTTCGAAGTGTTTCTCATAAGGGAGGAAAAATAGATCATATTTTAAAATAGGTACTATTTAGAAATACTCATGCCAACTTTACCAGGATTATTTCAAAGTAAAGCATTTTATTAATAAGAGGTTCCTTTTTTTTTTTTTGGAGAAGTTTTTTCTTATTGGGTGTGTGCGCTTGCCAGAAAGACAGAGAGACAGAGAGATAGAAAGCGAGAAATCACCCCCCAGGGGGAATGGCCATGCCGAAATCCCTTCTCCTCCATTCTCCTCTCTGGATCTTGGGCATGCACACACATGTGCCCAGCATGAGTTTAAGCCACCGGGTCCAGGACTCGAACAGAGGTCGACTACATGGCAGTCCAGCGACAGAGCCATTACGCTAACTGCTGGTCCCAAGAGGTTATTTCCTAAATATTAAATTCTATGAATGTTAACCACATGCCTAAGGCAAACAATGAATGGGAAAGTTAACAAACTTTAAAGTTTGTTCCTTTAAGTAACGAAGTTCCTTAAGTTATGGTTTGAGTTGCTACTTAGTTACAAGGACACTGATTATGGTTTGAGTTGCTATTTAGTTACAAGGACACTGATTATCGTAACATCAAAATCAGCTTCTGAGAGCCCTGCCCAGATCCTAGAAGATCCGCCAGTGACTGGTTTGGGTAGCCAGCTCCCCTACTTAGCAACCCACACCCGATGTCAATGCGAAGCTAAGGCCTTGCAGTCTGTGATGGGACTTCCTGGCTCCAAGCTCCTCACGGTGTTTGTTTGCTTTCTCCGAATGTGTGTTGAGCTGCCGGCAATGAAAATTGCTCGGCTGGAACAGAAACCAAGAGAAACACACACTTTATTTGCAGAGAAGACAGGCGCTGCCCCCCAGTGCTGCATTTACATGTAGGCATAAAGCACCTCTCGTCACGTACAATCCAGTACTGTCCTAACGTCACAGGAGAGGACTGGGGGAGGCGAGGAGGGGCCAGGGCAAGGGCGTGCACGTGAGCAGGTCTGCACACGCCGGAAGCACGCACAGGAGCCTGGCAGAAAGACGCGCACCATTCGTGTAACACTCGCAGTGATGAGGATTCACCGCAACTGCAGGACCATGCCCCAAGTCACTCCCAGCTGACCCCTCTATACCGTCAACACCACGCGGCCCCTCGTGCGAGTGCAACGGCAATGATGTAAAGTGGAAGAAGAGAACGGCCACTGCAGGACCTCATTTTATTTTCAGGTAAAATTAAACTAACGCATCCACCAATCACTGAAGACACCTGCTTCCAAACCCATCTTTCACATCAGCTTCAGAATTTCTGCCATACCCATAAAGACATTTAGGCATTTAGTGAATCTTTTTATTTGAATTGAACTCAGTTTAAACAAACAAACAAAATAAGATTCAGAGACAGCTACCATTTCAGACTCAGCCTGAGCACAGTGGGAAATCCACAAGGCGACGTGCTCAGCTCCTTGGGGATGTTACCAGGACCAAGGTGTGTGTCTGACCCGGCTTACACACCAGCTCCCAGTCACACTGGTGGTGTGACCTTGGACAATTCACTCAGACGCTCTGAGCTTCATTGATCAGTGGTTATTATATACACAGGAACTACTCCTACTTCACAAGCTTGAGTTTAAAGATTAAATTCAACAATACATACAAGACGGCTTAGAGCAGTGTATGCATCATAATGTCACCAATCATCATTACTCTTTAAAACCACGCTCGTAATTTCATTGATCCAGGTTTTTTTGTTGTTGCTTTTTCTTACTTTATCTTTTGTTACGATTACATTTTAAATACTCATTTTGAAAACGTGCTGTCTGTCCCTATAACAAAATCAACAAGCGTACACTTTCACAATACTGAGCTAAGGGACAATCCTTCCTCATCAGATAAAAACAAAATATTTCACAATAAAAGTGAGAACAGAAGTGCCACCCCCTTGATAAAGTATTACTTCTTAATCAGCAAAATGTATACCCAGCAAACAGTCTCTTAACCCTAGGCATGACCCCAGAAACTGTTAAAGTCATTTGTGTGAAATGCTTTAAAGAATGTAAGGCAACTCTGATTTACAGCTAGAAAACGTTCTCTTGCCGGCCTTGGTTTCAAGAGTGGCCAAATGACTTTACCACGCCCTGCTACCTTTTCCTCCTGTCACTGTCATCAAAACCTTCTCAAAGCACAATTTGACATACACAAACTCAACGTGCCTTTGAACCCCACGGTTCCCCTCCTGGCTGAAATAAACCATTGTGCCTGCAGGCATTCAGGAGTTTAAGAACCAGCAAATAAACTCGCATTCACAATGGAAGCATGAGTGAAGTCACTGTCTCCCGGAACACTTACTTCCCAGTCTGAGTTCCGATCTCTGATCATCTGTGTTTGAGACAGTCCTGGTATTACTGTAATCCTTCTGTAATTAAAGCACACATTTCCTTTCCTAACTTCTACAACTAAGTTTCTCTTGATACTGTAATCAACACCTTGGAATATGGTCAAAATGGGTCTCTTATGCAAGCCACTAATACTGGCCACATAAAAAAAAAGAAAAAAAAAATCCCCAAAACAAAACTACACAATCTTCTTGAACAACGAAATTTCCTTCTTGATTATATCATGGAATCAAACTATTGAGCTTTCTAAAATTAAAAAACAAACAACAAGCAAAAATCTCTTAAGGTCTTTTAATTTGGCAGAGGGCCCTGGCCCTCACTGGAGGACACAGGAGAGAGAGAGAGAGAGAAAGTCCCTCCCAGGGGGTGAGTCAGGTCACCAGGCCTTTTCCATTTCTCCCTTCTTTTGGAGCCTTGGGTATGCATGCACGCATGCCCGGCATGTTTCTCAAGCTGCAGGTTCCGGGGCCCCTGTGAAACCCAGCCACTTTAACTACCATGCCACTAGCTGGCCAAGAAGCACCTAGCAATTAAAGGAATTTATTACAGGGACCAGCAGATGGCATAATGGTAATGTTGCTAGACTCCCACATGGACGAACACAGCTGGATTCCCAGATCTGGGGGCTTGAAACACGCCGGGTGCATGTGCGTACATGCCCAAGAGGAGAATGGACCCAAAATCCCAAGAGGAGAATGGAGGAGAAGGGATTGTGGCATGGCTATCCTCCCCGGAGGGTGATTGATTTCTGGTTTTCTGTCTTTCTGTGTCTCTGATGAGTTCAAGTG